AACCGTTTTGGACCCTATACTTCACCTCGTATAAACAGGTAGTTGAATCATGTTGAATCTGAATGAATTCTTGCCGGCCCTGCTGGCCCACGTCCGCCCATGTGGACCATTGTCCTTCCCTGCGTGGACGCCGCACGGGATATCCTCAAAGCTGAGGTGGAGCTTCAGTCCAACTTCATGGATCAAATTCACAAGGCCCCGACCGGTGGAATTGGGCGATCGCCCGGTTTTTTTGTGGCGGGGGGAGCTGACCAGGAGGAGATGTCCACCAGAACGGGGGTCATGTAGACTCTTGATTAATACACCCTCCCATTTGAATTGAAAATCCTCTTCAAAGGGGGGTTTATTGATCAAGAGTCTACATTATTCTAATGGTATTCTACTGAAATCTGCAGGTGAAGCAAGATGGACAACTGTGAATTCAAACTCTTGAGCATGAATGCAGCGAATGCAGGGCACCACCTGGGGATCACAGTTCAAGATGCCGTCTGTGGGACTGCCGTTTTACTCTGGCCGTGTGCTTCGCGGTGCCGCTCCAGGCCCCTGCCTATGCGTCTTTGAGGGAAGAGTTTGAGATTCTGCAGTGTCGCTTGGCATGGTGCCAGCTGGGAGCGACCCGACAGAGCTACTGGCTGTGGCCCCTGCAAGCGAAGTGAGGTGATGTGAGTCAAATGAGCTGTTCCAAAAGGGTGCCAGAAACCTTGCTTGGTCAAAGGCAAGCGACCCAAACTAATGAATCACTAGAGCTAGCAGCTAGCAGCAAACACCAAACCCTCCACATCTTATCAATGTATATAGTAGGCTTTGATCAAAAAACATCTTCGTAAGAAGAGGTTTACACTCCAAATGCGGGGAATATATATTTCATCAAGAGTCTACACTGCCAGACTGCACTGACTTTTTCACCCTGACCCAGCCAATTTCCCCCTGATCTTCCCGGCGGCATGCACGAGGTGAGAGAGAGGAGATTGTCAAACGGCTGCGGGTGCTCCAGGGCGTTGGCGGCCCCGGTGTGGTTGATGTAGAAATCGAAACAGCTTTCCGGGGAAGATGGAAAAGGCTGAGGTGGAGGGTAGAGGTATAGGTACTAGGGGGTTTTGTTTGTGTTTCAATATGCTGCACCCAAACTACCACGAGAACCTTTCCGGTTGTCCAGTTTGGGGTTTCTCTTGGCTTGGTGGGGTTGCTGATCTTCAGATCGGTGCTGATCTGGCGTCCACACCAAGGAAGGAGCGTGTGATCAAGGAGTGGAGGTTCAATCTCCCAGGCCGGGGTCCTTGTCCAAGGTCGGTGTCCCAAAATCACCACATCCATGCGCAGCGATGGATCACCATCCCAGTGAGTCTCTCGAACCGCTCTGCGGGCGGATTCGCTCCTCAGTCGCTCAGGAGATCTCCAGAAGGGATGAAGAGAAGGCTTGATCCCCTGAAGTCGCGCGGCGACTTCGGCCTCCTGCGTTCGACGGCGCGTCGACCGTGCCGGTTTGCGGGGTGCAATGTTCAGCTGCAGAGGGGGTGTGGATGGGTCAATCCAACTGCGGATTCTGATGAATGAATCGTCACTGGGGCCATGAAGCATGAGATGAAACGCATGTCCTTGGCGAGGGGATCCATACTCTGTCGCTTGGCAGCATGTCCCGGATGGTGCCCAATTAATTGCTTCTCTTATTTTCCTTCTTCCCAGGGGGTCGAGCTTGGAGGTCTCCCCGTTTTGTATACACACACACACAAACCCTATAGCTAGCCGTTGAGAAGGAGCACCCCTTCCGATGTCAGGCGCGGCTGAATGGATTGCTCGAGGTGCCGAGACCTGGGGGAACAGAGGGCCCTAGGGCTCCAAGTACCAGGTATGACTCCGGTATGACTGGACCCTCTAAACCCACCCCAGTCCCACTCTCAGAAGGTATTTGGAGCCCTATGGCATGTGTTTGCCTGCCAGCAGTTCCCGGGTGCTACCATGGAGCTGGGTTGCAGCATGCCCATGTTATCCCAGTAGAAGCTTCCGAACCAAGCTTCTGAACCAGTGTGGAAAAAGGTTCGGTTCACCAACTCTTTACTCCCTAGGGACCTTTTGCGTCTTCGTGCCTCGATCCAACTCTCAGCTCCACCCAGAAACACGACGAACCCAACAGGAGCGCGACGCCAAGATCCATCGCCTCGAGGATGAAGTGCGGGATGCTCGGGGTCCTGGAGACGTCCGCGGTGGTCGACCGAGACCGAGACGACGGAGACGACGGAGACCGCGAGACGGGCACGTCGCGAGGGGATGATGCACGGTATTCAGTTTCAGTATACCAGGACCCTTTAAGGGGTGCCCTGTCTGGAAGCCTACAGGTAGTGTGGGGTAGTCCAGCCAGGACACCCCGACAGGAGGGTCCAGGTAGTTTTGTTTTAGTGTTTTGGACTTCTATTCTTGCAAGTGTGTTTTTCCCGCTTATGTGGGAGGGAACATGAAGTGATACAAACAGATGTAGTATGATGTAGTAGCTGTGGGCTTATTTTATTCGTCTGAGAGGCAAAGCAGATCTACAGTTGCAGGGACAGAGCAGATCTCATGTACCTCCCATGTCCTTTGACCATGTTCTACTGAAACTTCTTTGACCATGCGATTCCCTAACCTCAATGAATGGGTTTAAGAGCAGATAATGTGCAGATGTACCAGATATTCACGGTTTTCATCCCCCAAACCTATGGGTTTCCCGTCGATGTTCCTTTGCCATTCTGGGTCGTTGCCAGGTCGCTGCGAGCCAGCTCCACCCCAGCAAGGCGAGGAGATCTCGCTGGCGAGCTGCAGGGTTCTACCATCATTGCCGGGGTTCACCAGCCATGTCTTAGGTAGAGAATTTCAACTGCTGGAATGACCATGAAGCAAATGGTCGTTTTGTTTCGACCCTAGGCCTTTGCATTCAACGTCAGGTCGCAATCAACCCCTGAATGCGAACCTTCCTTAGACTGTCGACCCTTAGGACGATATGGCGATACTCCTGAAATCAACCACCATGGTGGGCATCGAAGAACCAGCTGTGCATGGTCGCTTCGCCTGGCCGCCTCCTTCGCGCGCGTGCGCGCGCGTTCGGCTCGGCGGCCCTGAGAGGTCGCTGAACTGCGGGCCGACTTGAAGCGCACCAGGCATGAGTGCCAGGCAGCGACCATAGGGCCCCATGCGTGTGGGGTTGATGGTTGGGCCACCGCGTTGGCGTGTCGCGGCGGTGGTGCCTTGTCGTGAGCAAAAAGGGGCCATAAGGTGATTTTCGCGAACGCATCACCAAAAGGTGTAGATGCTTAAACTTGTTACTGTTGTTGCTCCTCTCACGGGTGTGACACCTAACCTGTACGATCGGACTGAGAGTAGATGGCACAAATGTGCAAAAGAAGGGTGGTTTAGAATTGGATCTTAATTAGCATAACAGGCCCCCCTCCCCCCCCAGCAAACAATCCAGGGGGTCTGAAGAGTTTCACCGCAACAAAAACAAGTAGTAGTAGTAGTAGTAGTAGCAGCAGTAGTAGTAGTAGTAGTGCTAGTTAGTGGTAGTAGTAGTAGTAGTCGTCGTCGTCGTCGTTGTCGTCGTCGTAGTAGTAGTGGCTAAAAGAGTTAAACCTCAGAAGAGTTAAGCAAGGATTTCAAAGGGCAGCAATACTCGTAGCAGAACAATAAAAAGTTAGATATTTTTCCTTAGGGCTTCCAGTTTGCTTTTTAATCCCACCTTCTTGAAAAATTGTTTGGAACAATGAAATCGTTGAGTTTTAATAAGCGTGTTTGAAAACGATTTTCAGGTCAGAATTCCATGAATCAAGCAAACCTCAGGAAAGTTAAGTAAGGATGTTAAAGGGTGAGCAATAGCAGAACAATAGAAAAGCAAACAGCCGAAAAAAAGAAAAAAAAACATCCTGGGTCAAAAAAAACAACTGTATTCCGACCCATTAAACCAACCAGGGTGTGTGAATAGTTTGGCGAAAACTTGTTAATTATTCCATCCCATTATCCCTACGGCTCCAACTACCTCCTGAGAAGATGGTTGGGGTGGGTTTGGGGGGTCTAACCACCTTCTGAGGATGTGGTTGGAGCCCTAGGGTATACTAATTTGGATTCAACATTACCAGGACCTTTCTCCAAGATCCGGTGGTTGTGAGGGACACCCCTCCATGCATCTACACTGCCCACTCTCGGGGTGGTTCTTGTTGGACACCCCGAATCACCTCTTTTCAGGGCGATCATGAGACACCCGGTTGACCAAACCGGGGGCCTAGGTATATCCATCCTATGTACCATGTCATCCACTATATCCATCCAAGATCCGGATTACTCTTGCGGTCCCCGTGTGGAGCCTCCCAGCGCCGGGGGTTCCCAGACCGGCCGCAGCAGCGTCGCAGCATGTCGCCCACGCTGTGTGCAGGCCCTGTCTCAGGCCAACAGCGTCTTGAGAAGTTCCATTGCCACGCTCCAGTGGGGACCTCAGACCGCCCGGCAGAGGCGAAGGTGTTCTGTAGTGCGATCTGACGTGGCCTCATGGGTTGGGCAGGGTTTTAAGTTTAAACACGACCACGCGGCAAAGTGTTCCAGGACCCTCCAAGGGGTGTCTATTTATAGCCCCTTAGCTGTTAAGGGGTGTCCATTAACCACCTTGGGGCTCATTGTTTAATCTTTCTAGTATGGTGATGGTCTGCGTGTCCGACTGTGCTTGACATGACGAGGCTCGCGGAATTCCAGAGACGCCGCCCCTGAACCTTCCCAACGTGTCACATGATGCGAAGTACGTAGGTAGGGTGGATGATGGTGCAGATTCTGTGCAAGACTCCCTCGCCCGAAGCTGGCACGGCTATGGGTTTCGGTGTGGCACCCCTCCCCCAGCAAATCGGAGACAGAAAGACCTCCTTAGATTTGAAACCAACAGAGGTGCCAAGATCTTGCCACCCTTCACCCCCACTTGAACACCCTCCAGTGCACGTGATCAGACGCGCATCGACCACGGCGATCGATCGATCTGACGCCTGGACGGTGTCAGATTTGGCCCACCGTGTCCGACCTCGCCACCACCGTCGACTGGCCATGCACCATGCGCGCGATGGACGCAACGCTGCTCGTGGGCGTCGAAGGCACCAGGGCGTGGAGCTGTCCGCAGCGGCGGGTGATCGTGGGGCCGATGGTCTTCACCAGCGACTTCGATAGCGGCAACATGGGACCGGTCCAACTGGTGACTGATGCCGAGCAGGAACGAACATGGCCGGGGGCACCCGGGCACAGGGGAGATATCGAGAGTGTTTGGCGTTCGAACAATGATGGACTCTGGATATCTATGGAACCAGGTGCTTTCAATGTTTCTTTTTGGAGGCCAATGGTGAGGTGAGCAAAGCTCCACAACTGGAGGCTCGTGACTGGCTTTTCCTTGAGAGCTCTACCCTGGGTGAGTAGGACCGGACGGGTGGTTCCGACGCGTTTTCCGAGACGCTCCCTGACTACCTTGTACTGCTAGCTCGTCAAGATACGAACTATATGTCGGTCCCCTTTTGGAACATCCCAGTGTCGTTGGAGAGGGTGATATGTTCGTGATGTGTATAGGCTATATGATGCTATATGCATACTTAGAAGTTACAGGCGGATATATGCGGGATCATGATCACCTGTTGCCACGTTAGAGCTCCTGGCCCCACATGGAAGTGGATACACTCGGACGAACACATCACATGGAAGTGGATGGCATGGTCCCGTTGTTCAGACGACTTTCCTTTACGCACAGGTTTTTTTGTTCACTTCCATGTGATGTCTTCGTCGGAGCGTCGATCTGGAGAAATTCCTTCCCAGCTCCATCGGCTTCGAACGGATTCATCCCCGCTTATCACGGTCTTGGGAGATGCGAAAGTCAATAAGGTAGATCTCGCTGCAGTAGCTGAGTCCATGCAGTGACCTGGGTTCCAGTAGTTCCAGCTACTTCCAGCTACTTCCAGCTACTTCAAGCTTGAAGTGTGCTGGGTTCTGCCAGTTCCTTGTAGATTCGAGTGCGTCCAGGAGGACTTGCTCTATACCATCGACGTGGCCCCCGATTGCGCCGGCACTCCCCACGCCAACGGCTACCGCAGCTGGTTCTTCTTCGGCCTCTCCGTCGCCGAGCCCATCGAAATGGCCAGCTTGGAGGCGAAGGTTCCGGTGGAAGTGCCGGTGGAGAGAGGTGAAGCTCTAGAGGATGAAGGCGACTCCAAACACGTGACGTGTACGAGCACGTGCTTGGAGGAGGGAAGCCGGATGAAGGCGGATGCTGAAGGCTCGAAGTCTACTTCAAGTGATAGTGCTGCTGGAAATGATGCCGAAGAGGAGGAGCCTGCGAAGCCGGAGATGACCAAGACAGAGCTGCCCCAAGTGAACTGTGACTCTTAACGAAGATAAAGCCCGTTGCAATAAGCGGTGGACTATGAAAGGATATATGCATTGGAGTGGTTAAAGGGAACACCCACAACTATGGGGTTTCCTGTAGATGTTCCAAACATCCCTTAAGCTTGATCCACTTACTTTACTCGGGGTCTTCTTCTAGCGTCTCAGAACTCCAGCTCACCACCTTCCCTTTGTGTTTTGTTGAAGACTGTTCTTCTTGGGCCGCTGGGGGGCTTACTGGAGGTCCCCACTGCTCCGATCCCAATGTTTTTTTAAAGGAAGGAGGCCAAAAATCCGGCAAAGCCTTGGAATTCTGCCAGATCAGGGAGGAAACACCTCCAGGGAATCCGCAGCCTTTTTAATACCAGGTTATGTTCACAATCCAAGTCCCAGACGGTCCAGGTGAAATCTCCGTGGTCCTCACGATCCGCAACTTGAACAATCACCGGAAGCTCTTTCGTGACGGCTACCGCCCCTGGTGCAAAATGCCTGGCAAGCCTTGGAGCCGTTTGCCGGACACGCCTCAATTGGGCTTCGCCATCGTGGAGGGGGAGGAGATGGGCATCCGGTGGAGACATGTGCCTTAGAAGAATTAGGGCACAGAAGCAATAAATTACTCCCTTGCAGATGAACATGGAAGCCCCAAAACCACGGAGTTTTAGAGGACAATTGTCAAAAACACCGGTCAATTCCCGGGTTCCATGTTTGGGTGTTTTTCCTCCGAGTTTGGGCGGTGTTTGATGCCATTCGCCAAACTTGCTTTTGCTTGGATGAGTTTGGGGATTTGATGCGCAAATCCCGCGGGAGGGGGAAACTGTTTGTGTTCAAATTTCCGGCTTCCTGAACTGCGGCTTCCGCCGGGCTTTCACCTGGGCGCGCTGCTTCGTGCCCTTTGCCCGTCCAAATAATGGCCGGGCATCGCGATGCCGGCTCCGGAGGGTGTAGTGGGGCACCTGGAACTTCATCCGGATCCTAAAGAAACGACACCATTTCTTGTGGCCATCTGACCAGAAATGCTCTCTCCAAACAAATCTGGAGATCAAATGAATTAGGGACGGTGAAACTTTCAATGACAGGTGCGATTATACATGGACAGTCCTGGCTTATCCTGGCTTACTTGCCAGATTAACCAATGATCAATGACACTGTAACCATGGACTGCCGACATCTCAAGAATGTGGACTGACTCGTCGCGACTCGTCGAGTCTCAGATACCTGGGGGTCCGTGTGTAAATGAGTTGGGGAACCCGTTTGGGGGACCCGTTTGGGGGGACCGGTTTGGGGACCGGTGTCAATCACCCCGACACAACCTGTTTGGGACTGCCAGGACGGACTGCCGCCCCCAGAGGTCGACCCCCTTTCAACCAACCGGGCCCCCTGGGCGTTTCGAAGGCAGTCCGTCCTGGCAGTCCCAAACAGGTCGTGTCCGGGTCATGGAAAGTTTGGTGCGTAGTTGCCTGGACATGACGGCGGGTGTTTGGGGTCCAAATGGAAGAAGAACCACGGATGAAGCTACCAAACATGGTTCATGTTCCCAACGCCCGGAACATCCATGTTCATGCCTGGTCCTTTTCATCCATAACGCCAGCCATGCTCAGAGCACCCACTGATCCAGCACCTTCCCGATCCGGCCGTGCCGACCACACTCCTGACCTGGGAACCCGACTTGGAACACCAATCAAACATCATTCATGGTAAAGATCTCCTGTAACTCCAGGCCCTGGGTTTTATGATAGGGTTTTGAGGGTCCGACCCCTGCCATGGAGAGCCCGGACTCAGATTCTTAGGGTAGCAAGTTATTGGGTTGCTGGGTCATTCTTATTAACCCCTCCGGCCTTCTAGGTTTGGATCTCATCCTGACCTCGTTGCGTTTGCGTCCTCGCCCCGAGGAAGCGTCTCGCGGATCGGGGACCGTTTACTACGCCTTTTGTGCTCCCTACAGCTATTTGGACTGTCAAGGCCTCTTAGAGGATCCGCCCGGTCGTGGGGTGGGGCGTTGTTGCTGAGACGGACAGACATGGACGGATGGACAGAGTCAGACTGTGCTCCGTTTGCGGCCGCATCCAGTGGTTTTAAGACAAGGAGATTCTCCTGTTACTAGTGGGGGTCGGATGGAACTCTTAAGGTCGAGTCAGTGTGTCATCAGCTTAGGACTTCTTGTCACAGCTTGAAGAAGCAATCCTGGACTTGAAGAACCCACCCAGCTAAGATGGTTCGTTGCAGGGCACTCCCCAAGGTTGAAGAGCATGTTGTTGAATGAAGTTTGTTGACTGGTCATTCTGCCAGATGATTCCGGATAATATCATTTGTAAGTCGTGAGTTGCTCCTGCCGGACACTTGGCCTGTCATGGACAGCTGTGCTGCTTGAATCTCTTTCGAGAAAAGGGGGTGGTACATAACTTTTGGAAGGTCAGGTTGACGTCATCAGAGAGTTCTTTCCAGCGCATATTTGGCACATGCGTGGCCTTAACCAAAACGGTCTCCGTCCACAGGACTTAGAGGACACATTCAGCAGCTGTCCATCCTTTTCTTGGCCCGATGAGGGCCGAGGTGCTCTGAGAAACCTTTCCAAGTCCATCAATGATGACTGGTGGCCGAAGGCAGGCACAGACCCTTGGAGAGCGACACGTGGGTGAACTCAAGCTGCCGGTGGTGTGGGTTGGACGCATTCTACATGCATATATACGTATATGACTCTCTCTCTCTCTCTCTCTCTTCGTGTCAACCCTGCTCCAAAGGAGAAGACATGTTACTCCTGGGAGTCAAAGACTATAAAAAGAATGGTCTTGAAAGGGGACCTGAGTCAGGGAACTTCCTGAACACTTCAGCCGGTCAAAATATAGCCGAACTGGACTTCAGCCGGGTCACTGTACTTGTTACTGACTGTTGTTTCTCTCTCTCATTGCGAGCCGTGAAAACGTGGATCGACCAGCGAATCATCATCTTCCCACCAAGGACCTGCTGTTCCGCCGGCAGCTTCTCAATCGCTCCCTGCAGGGCCGCCGGGTGGACCTGTTGACGGTGAGCAAAGCGAGTGGACTCAAGGCCCGGAGCCGGTGCGGCCGTGCGGGAGCCGATCGACCGCCCTGTAGGTTGGAGGGTAGGGCTCTTAGGTTGGAATCACTTAAACAAGCAAACTCCTCCAACCGGTGTAAACTAAAACAATCTAAAACATCTGAAGGGTGCTTGCGCGACGTCGTGCGGGGTGTTTGGAGGGGATGGAAGGCTTTTCGATCTTGGGATCGTAGCCGTTGACATGCCAACATGAGATCCTGTCTGGGGTCCATCACTAGAAACCATCCATGAAGTCATGATGTCTCAGTCTTGATGTTTGCTTGTGATGGACCTCCACTGAACGAGGGGCTGCAAGTGTTCCACCTAGATCTAGCAGACTGTTGAAGAAAGGGTCCCCAGACCCTTCACTACCAGCACCCATCCAGTGGGAACCCACTAAAATAGGTGGACAGTTCGGTTCACCTTGATTTTCTCAACCCAAAAAAACAGCGTCGGGGAATCAGTGCAGGGTCCTGGATTCCGATTTCACTTTCCAACCTTCCAGGAGCTGGAGGTTTGGCCGCCAGACTTGCCCTGCGAGAGCCCTCAGGTGCGTCACAGTGTTGGCAGCACCCCGAAGGGTGTGGAACTCGAAAATTGCTCTAGACTCTATAGACCATATAGAAACGAAAAAGGAGATGGCTAGGTCACAGGCGGAGGACCCTGTTCTTTCCCACCAGCCCGGAGAGGAAGTCGAAGAAATCTATCCCTAGGGCTCCAGTCGTACCTTCTAAGAAGGTGGGACTGGGGTAGGTTTAGAGGCTCCAAATATGTCCAGTCATACCTTCTGAGGAGGTACTTGGAGCCCTAGGGTATATAATTACTGCAATACTGAGGAAGGTCAACCTACCAAGAAGTCTCCGGGCTAGTTGACCCACAGACAACACGTCCACCAGCCTGCCACCACGAGACACCCTGGCTAGCCTGCCACAAGGCGATGAGATTTTATTATATAGATTTCAATTGGGTTAATTGAGTATACCTGGACTTTCAAAGGGGTGTCCTGGCTGGAGATCCCTAGGTAGTGAGCTGGGGCTTCCAGCCAGGTGACCCCGAACTGAAGGTGCTGGTACATTTAGTCAATCTTTTCAATTGGCTGTGGAGGGGGGCTGTGGCGCTTGCGTGGCGCCAGCGCTACTTCGCTGGCGGGGTCAAAGTAGGTCTGGGAACAGCTTCCAATCCCGTGGGTAGTCTGGGAATGTCTGGGATATTTGAATATTAGTATAGCTAGAAGCTATCAGGTTGGAGGCCATTACTACTAGTAACAAGAAGCTACTAGTAGAGATGCCTTAGTTGCTAGTAGCTATGGCCTTGTTACTAGATGAGTAACTATATATATATATATCACCTGGGAATGGTTGCCACGATTGACCCGGCGGGCGCCACCAAACATCAGAATGTCGGGTCTTGTTGGCTGAGCGGACCTCATTTCAGTGAGTCCGGTCATAGAAAAGCAGCACAACACATGTTTTACTTGCTCCAATAGACCGGTAGGAATATTTTAACATGTCCCAGGGCATCCAGTTACCACTATAGCTGGTAACCAGTGGTTCCAAAGACTAAAATCATAGACTTAGAATCCCTGGTTCCTTATATAGTGGTCACTGGGATGCACTGGGATGTGTTGATACTTGTGGTGCTTCTTCCCATCCGCCACTTGCCAGGTGCTAAGTGGCCATAAGTCATATGTATATGGCCATTTCGCCGGGTGGTTTTCATGTGGTTCTCGGGGCGTGTTTGTTGGGGCATGTTGGCCTTTAACTCCCCACATCTTTCGAACATTGAAGCGCCATGTACTGCGAACCCCCTCCCCTGCGAACCCCCTCCCACGCACCACTTGCGATCCCTGGAAGTGGATTTCATGGTCTTCCTAGTGGCCATGACATCCATCGATGTCTTCGTCGGAGTGTACCGCTCGCCCACGAGAGAACCCTCAGACAGTTGGACTCCTTTTGGGGGGCCCACGGGGGGGGGGGTGGCACAGGGTGGTTTTCCTTATCAAACTGACGAGTCGTTTCAGAGGTTCGATGGCCACCATCCCCACTGTCGGTGCTTTAGATGGACATCTCGAGGGGTGTCAGCGCCATCTTTTTCCTCTGAAACCCACTCGTAAATCAAACACGACCTCACACGGCTCGGACCTTCGCGGCGACACGGCGGCGACACGCGGCGACACGCGGCGACAGCGGAAGGTGCCGAAGATGGCCGAGCGGCCCATCGTTTTTATCTCTGCACGTGTTCATCCAGGTGAAACACCTGGACAGTGGCTTCGGATCGCAAAAGAGCCTATCGCCTTTTGTTCGATCTTGTGCTATTGTTTTTGGACTCTAAGCAAAAAAAATAAAAAACTCTAAGCATTGCAAGTGAACATTGCAAATGAAGCCATGCCGGTGTTCCTTTCTTCTTGAAGCATGCCGCACGGCCGCACGGCTCCGGTCTGGTCGTCATGCTGGGGACTCCGAGTCCCGCTCCGGTCGCCGGTGCAGCGGTGGTGCCAGGGTCGAACAGGTCGAAAGGTCTCCCCGAGCTACAGGCTACAGGCCCCATATCCCTTCAAAGTCAAAGACAACTTTTTGAAAGATATGGTCTTTGGATGACCCGACGTCTAGGAATGTCCTTGACTTGGGTGCCCAAAAATCGTCGACTTGGACTTCGGAGATCCTCAAGGTGCATCAAGTTCATTCGTGAACTGCAGGTCACATGTTGTCGAGCCGCGTCGTGTTTGAGCGGCATGTTTGGTTCGTTCTTGGGGCATTTTCCACTGACCACGCACCGGTCGGTAGCTCGGTAATTATTACAGTCGATGCAGGTCGATTTCGATGCATGCGCAGGGGAAGGCTAGGCATCTATAGCAGGCACAGTAGCAGGCACCAACAGGGGCATAGAAAGGGATAAACAGTACGTTTTTTTCTCCTCATTTGATGCACCCACCTTTTGGTGCATGCATGCGACCCATAATATTTCCCATTGTTTACCTATACAGGTCAATGATCTCATTTTACTGGACCTGGTCATGCAAAAAGCACGACTTATGGAGTGTCAAAGACCCGGTTTAGACCAGGGTCAGATTGGACGATTGTCAGGTTTGATGTATATGTGTCACGATCGGTCCATTGGCCATTGGAGCACTGGTTGCCCGGTGGTGAGTTTACCGCTCGCATACTAGAGCCATCAAACGAGCCAAGATAGATTGGATTTAACATCCCCCCTGATCTAAGCAAGATATTACTACTGTATACCAGGACCCTCTAAGGGGTGCCCTGTCTGGAAGCCTATAGGTAATGTGGAGGAGTCCAGCCAGGACAATGCTTGGAGGGTCCTGGTACAGAGTATGCTAGTATATACTAGAGTATGCTGGCCAAGATGGGACCTCTCAATGATGGGGACGCTTTCGATTGCGCATCCCTTGATCGAAGCAAGTTTTGTGGAAGCACCGGGCCTTTGACAAACCTGCCGCAGTACTAAAGGTTTGGGTCAACTTCTTTCACAGTCCTCGTAGTGCACTTGTTACCCGTTTGGGTCCTTTTTGTTGGCCTAGACCTTCCCAGGCCATCTTAGTTCGGTACGACTGGACCCGAGACCACCTACAGTGTCGAACATATCACCTTCTCAGAGGGTAGGGATCTCTGGGGATTGAATGCTGTCCAACTGGCTTCCAAGCATCTCTATCGTGGCCTGAATTCTACCAGACAGGGATACACCCTAGAAGTCCAAAGACAATATTTTTACCGGCTGAAGTCAAGGAAGTTCCCTGACTCACTTCCCCTTTCAAGACCATTCTTTTTATAGTCGACTGGACTCCCAGGGTATGTTGATAATTCTGATGCCAGCACCTTCACCCGACACTCGCTGCAAGGTTCGTTTTCCTGGGCATCCTGCGGTTTCTTCTTTCAGATGACCCTCGCGCGCGGAGCCTGCGCGAGCGCTTCCAGTTCAAGTTGGTGCCGATGCTGAACCCCGATGGCGTGGCCTGTGGCCATTATCGGACGAACAGCCTGGGATTGAATCTCAATCGACACTATGACAAGCCAAGTCCACATCAGCATGAAGCTGGGTGGTGATTTCAGATATTTTTAAGTAACTTCAGGTTTTTACTTGGCATGATTGCACCCACAGGTCCTCAGCTTGTTGTTTTCAACCTGAACCCACCACGTCTCCTCTTGTTCGTCCGGTTCCTTGCAAGCAGCCAAGCCACCGTGGCTTTGCAGGAAGGCATTTGGGCGGCGAAGCGGATCTTATCCTCCTGGTCCAAGCAGGGCCGCTTGCTCTTCTACCTGGATTTGCATGGGCATGCTTCGAAGCGTGGTTGCTTCCTCTATGCCAATCGTATGGCTGGACCGGGCCAGGGCTGGAATTCGGGATTTGCTCGCTTGTGCCAGATGAACTCGCCTCACTTCGAGTTGGAGCAGTGTCACTTGGACTCGGTTGAGCTTCCGTCGAAGCGTTCTCTCTTCGACATGTGAAACCTCCCCACCATGCCAGCCCGATGGCCGTGTCAGTGTTCTCATGTGTTCTCTCTTGGAGTTGTACGAAGCCCCATGGGAAGCCCCATGGGAAGCACCCGACCCCTGACCTTGGGACCGCCCTCCCACATGTCGCGCTTTCTTCAGGGACTCCGCCACCCGCTCCAGCGATCTCACCAATCTCCAGACCCTTCGCCCGGACGATTGACCGAACATCGCGGGGCGTGGAACATCTGGACTCCACAGAGTCTTGGAATCCAACCCCGGGTCTCAAACTGTTAAAAACCTCGCCCGAACCCTGCCTCAACTGAAGCTCCTCAACTGCCTCATGGATCAAAAAACACTGCCTCAGGGTCCTCGGTCCTCTCGGTGGTTCCCGACTCATGTCACCTGAGGTGAATTCGGTGATGAGGTGGACAAGGAGATCGAAGGTCGTGAAGGTGAGGTCCTGCGGTCGGCCTCTTCGAAGCCGACCGGACTCGACTCGGGCAACCGTGGATGCTGGGACCTATTTTAAGAAACAACCGACCGAAACGGAGTTGGATTTGGGGAGAACGGTGGATGTTAATCGTTTTGTTGCGAGCAGTGCGTGGCATTCAGAGACAATTGAACTGAACAGCCTTAATTGTTTATAGATACCCTATAGGCCCGGTAAGGATTGTTTAATATATTGTTTACATACGCAGGCAAGCGTGGCTCGGGTCGTGTGGCCATTCATCGAGACTGCCGGCTTTGCAACGCCTACACCTTGGAATGTCACTGGGCATTGCACCAGGGGAGATGGTCCGACAGAACCCGTTTCTTTCCGTGGCAGACCGTGGCGATGGGCGATGCCACAGAAAGCATCCGCTCGTGGAGCTTAAGGCTTAAGGTTTGTCGACAGAACCAGATCATCCATGTATGGAGACTTAATGCATTCTAATGCTAGAATCACCCCAATGTAGGCAAATGTTCCCGCCCCACGGATTCGTAGCACAAGTTGGTTTTCGAGGAAAAGTCCGTGGCTCGAGTTGCGACCTGTGAGATGGCCACAGGGTCGGTAGGTCATTGCCGGAGAGAGGCCCCAACCAGTCCTGCACAGTGGGTTCATCGAGCAAATCAGCAGCCAACCCCAGACCATCCATGTATATTGGAACAGTTACACCATTTATGACCTCAATGTAGGTCTGGGAACAGAAGTTCTTAGGTCCTGAACTGACTCATCGAGATCACCTGACATCGCGCCCAAGGCAACTACAACAAGGGAAGAGCTACGAGACCCATTGTCCCTCCCAAAGGCTTGCTGGGTGCAGATCCACCGGCAGCCGAGCTTTTCACTGAGGCTCGGGGCTTTCAGATCACTTGGTGAAGTTCGGGTCAAGAAAGCTGTTTCAGAGCTGTTTGAAGTTGAAATCCGGAATCTGGTTGGCAGGCAGGAAGTGACCAGATCCGGATTTGGGGTGAGTTCTCATCATCCACCTTTTTCTGTCTTTGAAAGCTGCAGGAGCCAGTTCCCTATGCACAAGGTGTTTGGGCACAAGTGGCTTGGCAAACGACTGGCCAGCAAGCTCTGTTCCGAGACATCTCCAGATCTTCTTGGTCTAAGTCATGCGGAGACAGTTGCAGAGACCTATGCAATGCCCCTGTTCACGCCAACGAAGTGGCGTCTAGAGTCACTTCGAGGTCGAACGTGCTTTTCCCGCCGTGGTGCTGAAGCCGATGTTTTAGCTCCCCATGTTCCACACCCAGACCATATCAGACCATCCATGGGAACCAGAATGTTGACCAACGAAAACCTCCGAACCCTACACCTCCCGGCCCATCTTCTCAGGTTCGGTGGAGACTGACCGCCCCCCTCCCAAAACCCACCCGCCCCAACCATCGAACTCGAAAACGGACCGGGGGGGGCTTAGAGTTGGAGCCCTGGTACGGACGAACACCGCCACCGGATGGGTGGGCACCTGGTGGTTTGGGTCAGGTGGGCGAAGCCTGCGTGGTGAGCATTTTGGATCTCTTCGGCCACAACTGCCACTCGCGAAGCTCGCCAGGATCGTCATGGGTGTCCAATAGAGAACCCTACCCTACACAGGTCTCGCACTTCCAGGGCGCCGGAAGTGCGGCAGGTGGTGGGACCCCGGCGGGTGTGATGTTCAACAACCTGTGGGAGTCGAAGACTATAAAGAGACCGGTGTGGTGTTTAAGGGGGGGGGCCTGATTTTGGGAAAGGCTCCTTTGCATTTCACTATAAGGACCAGGTTTTGGTCAGTATAGTCTTTAAACTTCTATAGGGTTGATGTTCCCGGTTCCTGAGTGAACCCCCTGGCATGGCATGGTTTTTACATTGTTGCTTCTATTTTTCAGTTGTTTTTGTTTTCCTCCTGCTTGCTGGACCAGCGATCCCAAGGTATGCTCAACAGCCGTGGTTCCCTGCACAGCCTTCTTGGGTCCACGATTCGACCTCGCACTGGCCGCATGACGCATGTGAAGGATGTGCTGCCGCAAGGACATGGGGGGCCAAAGCTAACACGGAGATCCGTGCGGAACGTGCGAAATGGTGCACTTTGAAAGTGTGGTGATGTGACGATATGCTAAAGCACGCCAAAGAAGCCATCCCATTTGGACCCAAAGAGATCAAAGAGCCTCCAATTCTCCCTTCACACGCCAGGAGTTGGCCTCACCCCAGAAGACATCGCTGCCCGCGAACGCCCCTGCTGGCGCAGCGCTTGCGGCTGGGCCACCGCCACGAGCTCCGCCCCTGCGGCGCCGCCGCGCGGTGCCAGCCGCGAGGCGGCTGCGCCCGTGCCGCGGGCGTGGTCGGCTCAGACGTCGGAGCTGCGGATTTGCGGCGCACGCGCCGTGCCACGCGCCGACGTGGCGAAGGAGGAGGTGGCTCCGCGTCCCGGCAGCGTGCTGCGACGGCGGCGGACCTTGTCGAGTGACCCGCGAAAGGCGCATAGAGGTGAGTCAGCCAAAGTGCGGCCACCGGAAGTGAAGCTGACTGCTTTAGCGCACTGAGCCAGAAAAAGGAAAGCAATCAATATAGGCTCTCACCAGGAACTAGCCGAATACAGGCTTTGGCAGGGTCCCAACGACCAACGGCCGACGCTTCCTGGTGCACGAATAGATAGGGGGTCCTGGGCTGTGTTAGTATAGGGTGGCGGCCGCACGTGGACCGTTTGAAAAGAACCCCCAGGGCTCCAGTCGTACCTCCTCAGAAGGTATGACTGAACCTATTTGGAGTTTCCTGGCACCTACCCCAGTCTCACCTTTTTGGAGCCCCTTCTCGGAACAGCACTCCAAGTGCACTACTGGTGTTCATCCGTTCGTGACCTAACCTGAATCCCCCAAATGTTTGAGGTCACAACAGGCCTCTAAAAGGTCACTAGTAAGGTGACTCAAACCAAGTTGGTCATTTGAAGACGCCGGTGCAGGCGCTTTTGGGGTCGCTTTTTGGTGATCAGATTGGCCCGTAACCTGCCTGCACCGCCCCTGGGGCGGGAGAGGGTGCCATCGATCGAGCGAGGCAGCGGCCGCTGGAATCTGTCACGCCTGCGGTGGAGCTGGCCAACTCTGCTACGCCACTGCCCGAGGTGCTTTCAGCGCTTTCGAGGTCGTTTGGGGCATGCAAATTGGGGCGCTTCCGCAGATGAGACAACGCCGGAAGCCTTTCCAGCGCCGGTGCCCGCTGGTCACAACCGTCACAAAAGACGCCGTCCTTTGGAAAAAGACACCGTAACGGCATGTAACGGCAATTTTTCTATATTTTTCTCGAAAAGGCCCGTTGGCGCCGTTTGGAATATCCAGGGCATTTTCTGGGCCAAGTCTAATGGATATGATTGAGCCAAGGGAAGGAACGTTAACGCCACGATATCTGGTCCAGGCACGTCCAGGCAGCTCCCACTGTCGGACCATCTCGGATTAGGATGCTTGTGTGAACCACCATCGCGTGTTAGAAATGTGCAGGCCAGAATCTCAACATGTTGGGGTGGGGTATGGTAGGACGGGAGGAAGATGAGACAAGGGCCCTGATTGTCCAAAACGAGCTTGGCAAGATTGACACCGATTAACATGCAGGTCGACCTGTGTCACTTCAGGGTAACGCCTATACTGTCTAGATATACTCATTAACCCCATAAAATGCCCATAAAGAACTGCGCTCGGAGCGGCCTCGAAGTCCTATACAAAACCAACCCTCCCCACGGCTCCAAACTCTGGGGTCAGGAAGTGTCGCTCATCCAAGACTTGTGCACTCGCGGCGTCTTCAACCGTCTCTATGAGGAGCGGGGGAAAGGGTACGGAGGCATTTTGCGACAATCGGGGGGCAGAATAGCTGGAAGATACAGCCTATACCAGGACCCTCCGACCCTCGGGGTGCCCTGTCTGGAAGCCATCCTAGGATCCGTGTGGAGTAGTCCAGCCAGGACACCCCTGTCGGGTCGGAGGGTCCTGGTAGCATGGAATGATATGGATTTAAGTCTGGCGGACCCGTCCGGCGTCAGTTCGGTGATGCACCGTTCGGTGTGAATAAACATGCATGGACCTCGGGTCACCTAGACCACTGAGACTCTCATGGACTTCGGTTGAGAAACAATAAGGCGGTTTCAGAGTAGATGGCACGTTTCCACCAAGATGTCCTGAACAAATGGGGTTCCATATAAACCACCGACCTTGGGGTCTGTGCCATTGGTCCTCTCAATCCACTATAGGCACAGGGGCCATTTGGATCCATTTCCGCAGGACGCCATCCGGCGCCGCGAGCTCGATGCGGTCGACCCGTCCGGCGAGCAAGGGGAAGGAGGTTTTTCACGGGAGTGGCGGGAAAACACACCCTAGACTTTGGCTCCAGTCGTGCCTTCTTCAGAAGGTGGGACTGGGGTAGAGGCTCCAAATATGTCCAGTCATACCTTCTGAGGAGATACGACTGGAGCTCTAGGGACAATGATGTCAGAAAAGACCCGGCATCTTTCGCAGGTCAAACACCCCACGTCAGGTGGATGTGAAATGATGTGAACACATGACCTTGGCTCATCGACGCTGTTTGAGCTGAAGGATGCTGAATGAACCAATTAGACGCTCATCGAATAAATTCTCATGTACTATTTTATGCCGTATATACTACTCCTCCATATAAGAAGAGCTCTTACCAACCCAAAGTTGGGGGGGGCTAATGAATCTGGACCATCCACCGGGGTGCCCTGCACCGGGAAGGGGACGACTCCAGCCACAACCCCGATGGTCGGATGGTCCTGGAGAGTTTCAGGACGATGGTGTGGGGAAAAGGGCGACGGTTTGGATGACATGGCATGGTCATCATGGTCATCCCAATTAGATCAATTAACCCACTAAGCAAACACAAGAAGAGACTCCAGGTCCAGTTCCACGTCGGTTTTTGGAAGACAAACCTCATGTCCTTCGAACGGCACGCCTCTGATCGAATAGCACGTCGAACGGCACTCATCCTCGGAACTCTACCCGGATCGATTGAATGTCTCCGGACCCTACTAAGAGTTCCATATCCAAGTGGTGTTGAGACCCGCCATGCACCGTGCATGCATGTATATACAAGAGGCCCCGCGCTTCGAGCGGCACTATTGCTAGTAGAATTGCTGGTGTCGACCGAGGCCTAGGCCCTCCGAGTCTTGGGTTCGGGGACCAAGCGCTGGACCTCGAGCTCCAGCTCGAGGGAGAAGTGGTTGAGGGAGCTCAAGGGCCGCGAAAGAAATCTAAGGAAGGCTAACGAGATGCTGAGCGTGGTGGGATTCAATTGTTAGATGGGGTGCATCGTGCTAACTAGATCTAACTAGATGTGCATGCTTCAAGGCTATACTGTATAGTTGAATGCAATCCAATGCAATCATTGATGCGTATCTGGTTGAAGAAACGCATCGTTGTCAAAGCATCACAGCGAATTCCCCAACTTTAAAGGTCAGCTGGAGATTTGGCAGGGCATGACAGGGCCTTGCGCCACCGATCAAAACAGTTACATTCACTAATCAGAAGTCCTAGAAAGCCTCCTCATCCCACTGCTGGACATGTATGAAATCAGTGCATCCTCTCCTACACATTTCAGAAAACACTTCGTTCAGAAGTGTACCCTTACCTCCACCTGAGGCTGGCTGTGCCTCACACTGGGAACAGGAGAAGCGGCCACACTCGGCGTCCTGCGCCGTGGCACAGCACTGAGCGAAGTCACAGCGGAAGGCACAGCGAAGTCACTGGTTTCACTGATAAGAGTCATGCTCAGGGCCAGCGCCTGCAGCAGGCACGCAGTTGCAGTCGGAGCCTGCATCTCTCCAGTCTTTGGACATCGTATCTCCATGTATCTCCTATTATAATATAACACGTCAGGGAGAAATCCAGTGCTGACATGGATGCTCATCTTGATGGCATAGTACAGCGACTCACTATAGAAGAATATTTGGCAGCAAAATGGATTGCAGGAACATGTCCAAAAAGAAGCATCATGATAGCCAAGACTAAAACTCACAAATCTGTACTCTCTCGCTGTGCAGCTCCCCTCGCGCCAGGCGGCGAGCTCCGTGGCGCGCAGCCGTTCGGAGCCGCCCCAGCCGCCGCGCAGTCGCTCCTCGGGCGTGGTGGAGATGCTGCGCAGCAACGCGCAGAGCCTGAGGCGGGGGTCCGCGGACCGGGTTTTGGCCATCGGGGGTGGCCGACAACGGCAGGAGCGCATCGGCGGGGTGGAGTTGGGGTTCCGGGGAGGTTGGGGTGAATTGATGGTCATGCGTGAAATGGGGCTCAAGGAGAACTGCTTGGTTTTCACCGTCTTGTTGAAGGACTGGGGCCCAGAAATCCACATACCTAGCAGCCAGTTGGAGGGCTGAATGATAGGTTTTGCCAGTGAACTTCCCGAATTAAACATCCAATATTGCAGTCATGCCACGTTTCCGTTCCAAAGCGGCCCCTGAAACTGGGTGAACGTCCGTTCGTGCGACGTGTTCGTGTGGAAATACGCCAGGGACACCCTGGATGAGCTGCCTGGATGCAAGATGATGCACGTGATGCAGAGTTAGAAGCTGCATGTTAAGCATCGAGACATGTCACGCCCGTGAAGTCATGCACATGAAGTCAGGAACATCAAACGAAGCACCAGCACAAAACCACACAGAAACCCTTTGATTCTTCCTAATGCGATTCCTAGTCCTATAACCACGGTCGATTTTGTGCATGACAGCTCGGTTGGGGTTCTCCGCTGCGACTTTGTTTGACCACGGCCCTGGAGTTGTTTCCAAGGCCTCTCTTCTTCCACAATTTGAGACTTCCAGTGTCACCCGCTTTGCCACCGACCCTCGACAATCTGCCAGGTGGAACGGTGGGGGGGAGAAAAGGGGTTGCACACCAAGCAAAGCGGCCTGCTGGCACAAGAATTTGGGTGAGTCATGAGTTGGGACATGTCATGACATGTCTTTTCCAAGATTTACGCTGCCTGAAGCTGATTCGCACCTCTTCGACCTCTGATTGAGGGATTCTTGCTTTGCAGCTCAGTTGGGCCATGTTGGACCTCCTGTTACCGGAGTTGATCGCGCCAAAAGCGAAGACACCATTCCCTTGCGAGGCTTGCCACAGGAACAAGGCCAACTTCGATCGCCCAGCGTTCAAGGCTCAGCGGTTTCGCAACTAAACCTGCCAGTCCAGTTGGCCGGTAGGAATCGACCTGTTCTCGACCTCAGAGAATGGGGCACAGTCGTGCCGAAGTAAACAGGTTCATGTCCCCATTTTCTATAGGGTACGAGCGAGTTGGTTGGGTCCAGGTATGCCAACTACTCGATGTTCAGTCCTTCAACAAGTCCCGCTGCCTCCGTTTAGACCTTGGCCAAGAGACCGGGAGACCTCTTACAATGAGACGTCTCACTGACTGCCCTTCACAAGTACCTGAAGAAAAGAACAGGACTCTGATGAACAATAGTATGTTTCGGGTTCTTCAACCCCTGCCAAAATGTAATTTAATCACCCAAGTGTGTTGCACCCCTCAAGCCATGGCTGTCCTGGACCCGTTCGATCGG